CTTCATTAGCCTGTACACCGTTTCAGAAATTGCTCTGTGCTGATAATGCTTGATCCGCATTGCCTTGCCATCAGATATGTTTAGAATATTCAGAGGCTTTATAATTGGGTAGACTGTCACTAAATCATTAATGAATATGTAGCATGTTGATCTTTTAGAAGTTAAAATTGCTTTAGTTTACCTAATCATGGGCCCAAACAGTGAAATTAAACATTTGTCACCTTTTTGCAAAAATGTAAATGAGTCAAGAGAAACTCTCTTTACTTTTCTGTAACAAATTTACAACAATAGTGAATAGTCCATTTTAATTTGTTTATTTCATTAGCTGTGCTTTTGTCCACACTACCATAATCAGCAAAAAGACTATACAACGCACATGCCTTGAGCAATTTAGCCAACTTGGTTTAAATCCCTCGTTTTGATTTGGCTTGGAGGGAAGATTTTGATGGCTGCATACATCAGATTTATTTATACTGAATACAGATTGAATTCACCCCCCACTGAAAGAAGTAAACTTAAATGGTTCAGGGTGCCTGAAGTCTATATGTACAGTAATTCACTGAAATGCTGCACATACAGAGGGTAAACCCATTGCTGCTGGGGTGTAATTCCACCTCTGGCAGCATTTAAGAGTTCCAGGTCGGTATGGTCTACTCTGATTATTTGGCATCTGGCGCTGTAAGGCACAGAATGTCCAACTTTTGCCACCCATGTCCTCTCCTCAGCCCGCTTCTCGGCGACATCCGCATCGAATGAGGTGTAATTACATCCATGGAAGAGCATCGGGAGCTGGCTGGAACACAGGGAAAATTTTAGGTATTATGGGGAGGGACACTGATATAGAAAGTTACTCTAGCCAAAAACAGTATTTTACAGTCTACGAAGTAATTATGGCATTAAAAATATTTTTATAGAACACTATAATTGACAATTCAAAAATACAAATAAAAAGCCATATTTGCTATTAAGTCATTCACTAGACCAGGGGTAGGCAACCTACGGCACTAGTGCCATGCACGGCACTCGAGGTGTCTTTCCACGGCACTCAAGGCTGCTAGAGCCCAACAGGCTCTGGCCTATCAGGAGTCTCAGTGAAACTTCAGATATCTGCTAATTCGAAGAGATAGTGAAGGGCCACCCTCAATTTATGCATTGCAGCACGTAGAGGAATTGATCTCAGATCACTTTATTCCGGCACTTGTGAATGGCAATCCACACTGTAGTAGAGCAGCCTGCAGCTGCTGTTGCAGCTCTTGTCCTTGACTTGTGCCTGGTCCCCACTAGAACCCAGGGAAGCCACCCACACTGCTAGATATATACAGACCTGCAGAATAAGGCCTCCCCTCATACAAATAATACGAACAGCCTACACACAAACCCCACAAACGCAACACCACTAACAATCCACATACATGCACACAAACCCACATGCAGTCTCTCCCATGCAATACCCCAAACAGCCCCCACACACTACCAAATACACAATGTGACATATCCATCCACACACAATTCCACAAGCAGCCCTCATACACAGCCCACATTCATATGTATCCTACACAATACCATAAACTACTAATGAACATATACAATATAATAGCTCATATACGCACAAATACAATGATACAAAGCAATTACAGTAAAAATAACACAAGCAGAATACGGCAGCATACATACCTCAATTTAAAAAAAATAGGATTGGCACGCTAAGGGACATCAAAATCCTATATCGGCACAGTGCTGCTAAAAGGTTGCCTACCCCTGCACTAGACTAAAAAGTGAAATACAAAAATTATGAAATGAAGTTGTCCTAATTTCCTTCCATGTTGTATAAACTGAAAGCCTAATTTGAAAGTTTTTTTTTTTTGTTTTTTGTAATTTCTTTCTTGTACTGTAAGCCAGATAGTAAGCAAATTTATAGAGCCAGCATTGGTTGAGACCAATGTTTTCTTGTGCCATCTTAATGAAAACAAGAAAACAAACCAATGTGATTAGAAAAGTGTCCAGCTGCTGAGCAAAAGCCAGTGACCCAAAATGGTGAGAACAGTGTAGTGTGGGATGGCTTGCAATTGTACGCGTGCTCCCACACCTCGGTACTTTTCATCCATTTCAGCTGGATATGTTTGTAAGTACATTCATAAATTTAGGTAGTCTATTAATACATACATTTGCTAGCATTGTCATTAACACTGTATAAAACTGTGTTTAAATTTAAGCTGACTTTGCCATTCACTATATACAAAGACTCAAACTTTCTATGTGAGCAGACAGATGGTATCGCTGGGAATGTGCACATTGTGCATAATACCTCCTGTGGTCCCCACACAGGAAACTTGAATATTTGTGTTGCAAGTCACAGGTTACATAGCACAGAACTCTTGTCTCTGTCAGAGAATTAATGGCACTTAGGGAAGTGTCTAATACCCAACCACCAACCAAATGTGAGCTAATTTTATCCAACTTTATTCCTTGTCAACTACTTGCAGACCTATATGTGGTTTTTTGGCTAAAGCAGTTTGTAGTTGACAGCATTTAGTTAGATGTGACTGCTAGGTTTGCAACGCACTCAGTTTGTAGCTCACCAGCTCTATATTGCACTGACCTGACCACAGATTTTTCTGGTTTTCTTTTTTTATTGTTATTCATAACTATAAATCAAAAAACAATCTGTCAGTATTTATTAAAAAAAACTACTAACCCTTTTTCATTTATGTTTGAATAATGCCCTACTGGGCATCAGTTTTCTTGACCAAAAAAAAACTTAAAGAATTTTTAATATAGTTTTGTTCACCCTAATCCAGAGCCAGGCAAAGATCCACAGAGCTACTTGCCACACCTCCGTCTGACATCACTGGAGGCGCACCAAGGTCCTGTCAAAGGCTTCTTACTGAGGAGCCTTTTATTGGATCATGTTACTGGCCCAAAGCACATGCACGCCCTCTAAGCTGGCAATGTGAGGGAGGAAGGATGTGGTTTTTAAAAATAAAAAATAAAACTGTAGATGGGATTGGGAGGAGGGAGGGCTTACTTCTGTGTGGGAGGGAAGTCAAGAGCTTCTCCCTCGTAGGCGCCGCATGCACGGGAGAACCAATTAAGTCTGTAGCGTGCAGTGCGCGCTGATGACAGACTTATTTTGTGCACAGCATTGACTGGCAGTCTGGAACGTAGTACTTGGGCTGCCTAACTCACATGTGCATGGGGTGCTACTTGCAGATGCCCTGCACATCCAGACTCCTACCAACATGACCACTTCAAAAGGCAGAAGTGGCCATTGGTGTTTGGAGTAACCCTTTGTAATAATCAATGTGTAATACATTGATAAAGAGTACACACAAAGTAGTGTAACTTGCTACAAAACACTCTCCTGTGCTGAATATTAATTATAAGTATAATGCCTTGTAGCATAGGTGTGTGTTTTGGGGGAATAAAGGTTTGAAGGTGTTTAGTTGTAGCCTTACTATAACTTGCCTTAAATGAAAAAGCTAAGGTTACAATTTATCCCAAAAAGATGTTTGTTTTCGGATTTAATTTAATTTTTTTTGTTTTTGTTTTTTTACTCTGTGTATAATCTGCCATCGGCCTGCATATACAAATAATTAAACCATACCAAACCATTATGTTTTAACTTAATTCTTCTCCCTTTTTGACTGTATGTTTATGTAATTGAGCAATGTAAAATGAGTCATTTGTAAATGGGTAAAAAGAAATTGTAGGCTGGGTTTTTCTTTGTAATTTAATACAAATATGTGAGGTGTATGACAATATCCTATTTAATGAAATTCCAGGTTTAATGGTCTTTAAATGGTGTACATTTTTTTTTAATTTGTAAAATTTTTACTGTACATTTGATTCTCATGCATAGTGATTCAAATTGCTTGTAATTTAAAACACTATTTAATATTCAGAATAAAAGTTATATATTTATAACTTGTGTTGTGTGTCCTTGATTTTCTTTCTTGTACTTTTATTTATTTTTCTCTCTTCCAGTTAATGTTTTTCAAAACCCAATTTTAGCAACACAACTATTGGAGTGCAATGATACGTTTTGTGTATGTTATGCATAATGATTCCTGCCAGTGGCAGAAAAAATAAATTGATGATTACTGGTTTTTTGATGGTTTTTTTTTGTTTGTTTTTTTTTTTGCATAGTAGTGTATTAAAAGAAATATAAATGACTTGATTGAAAAACTATTCTCCTCCATTATTTGAGATCAGAGTATCCAAACTGAAGGTATAGCAAAAAAGTATACAATTATTTAATAAACCCACAATTGGTCAAAAATGTATATTACAAAAAATGACAATATAAAGGCAAATACATAATAAACAGTAATTTACCAGAGTTCTCACAAGCCTAATAGGGCAGAAACACGAATCAAAAATAATCCCCCAACGTTTCGGCACCAACTGGCTGCCTTTTTCAAGGGTGTTTATTTTTGCTTTGTGTTTCTGCCCTATTAGGCTTGTGAGAAATCTGGTAAATTATTACTGTTATGTATTTGCCTTTGTATTGTCATTTTTTTGTAATGTACATTTTTGACTAATTGTGCGTTTATTAAATTTTATATAATTTTTTTGATTTTGGTGTGCATTCTCTTTCATACAATATACTATAATTATAACTTGTACAAGATATAAAATCAGATTGAAATGCATACTTTTGTAAATTACAGTGATGGGGGGGAGCGTTTGTATACACATTTCCTAGTTGCAAAGCATAATAAATGTGGTTAAGAATAGTGCTTGTCTATAAATTCCCACTAGTTTACGGAAGAATTATACTTTTTGCTTTGGTGTGTGTCGTTTGGACCATTCACTAAAGCATTAGATTACTGAACATATAGAGCATACCTTTATTTTGTGAATCTCTCAAGGAGAGTTTTCTTTTTACTTTAATAGTAAATGAGAGAATACAATGGGGAAGATTTATCAAAGTGTCACACCTTTTTTTAGTTTGATTTTTTTTTTTTTTTCTTCTCATTTGTGGCATAATCTCTTAAAGTGGCACTGTCATTCCGAACTTGCCTTTCTCCTATTTCCTCTTCCTCTTTTGGAATCTGTCTGAACATATCTGATCTAATTTACTGTAAAACATAACATGAAGTACTTGACTTTCTCTGACTAAAGGAGAAGCTAAAGTCTCCATGTCCAGTTTCCGAGAAAAATTGCCCACATATTACCCTCCTCCTTGACACAGGAAATGGAACAGACTTAAGCTCCTCCTTTGGTCAAAAAGTCAAGCGTAGGAAAAATATATAACACAAAATACTACTTTATCTTGTGCTTTAACGAAAAATCAGAAAGATAAGAACAGGTTCTTGGAGAGGAAGAGAAGAGGAAACTTTAAATCTGTCTATTTTATTATGTTGTTTTTTGTGACTTTTAAAGATGTTGGTCTTCTGAAATGTAAGTTTCTGAGAAACTGGCATAATTTACTATGAAGAAAACTTTTTTTTAGATCCGTTTAATACAACCACATTAATGAACACATTTTATTCACTTTTAAGAACATTTGGATAAATATCCCCTAATGTCCTAAAATGTGTATGTATGTATGTAGAGATAGATAGATATAGACATCTATAGATAGATAGAGATATAGATGTATATATGAAAAGTTATTCCTACTTACCGTAATTTTCTTTTCCTGGTCATAGGCCATGTCAGCACAACAATGGGTAGCTCCTCCCTATCCCTAACCAGACAGGAACCTAATTAAAACAGAAGGTATAAGTAACCCCTCCCACCCTCAGTCTTGTTTCCAGCAATATCCCAGTGTGGGATCTTTGTGCTGCCATGGCCTATGACCAGGAAAAGTAAATTACGGTAAGTAGGAATAAACTTTCCTTTTTCCTGGCCATATCCATGGCAGCACAACAATGGGTAATACGTAAGCAATAACCAAGGGAGGGAAAGAAATACACAAGACTTCTAAAATATGAATGCAAATTGACAAAACACACACCTCATAAGGACATTGGAAATGATAAACTGATTGCCCACTATTGGCACATTATCAGATTGACCAACTCAAATGTACCAAAAATAAAATGTCTGAAAATTGATTGAAGACCAAGCAGCCATTTACCTACAAGTTCCAGGGAAGCTTGGCCACCGATGCTCAAGAGGGAGAAATGGCTCTAGAGCAAACAGACCTTTAAGTACTGTAATCCCTAGGGCTTAGTAGCCTAAAAAACAGCCAAGACTATCCATCTGTTGATGGCTTATATAGAGGCTTGAAGATCTTTATGGTCTATTAGTAAAGATAAACAGAAGAAATCCAGAAAGCGGATCTATAGAAATAGATCTTAAGGCATCTATCTAGGACAGGAGGAGAAAGTTTTATTACGGACTCTACATTGTATGCAAAATAGTGCTTGAGGATCTAATACCCTTCAGTCCATGCCAATGTCACCGATAGAGCTAACTTAATATTAAGCAAATGTGGAGAGATATACTTTCAGGACTGTAAGGGGTGAAGATTTCAGAGCCCTAAAAAAACAGGGAAGAATTCCACAGAGAGCAATAGATAACCGTGGGATCATATAAGTACAGCTGACAAATTTAGATACCTCCATATTAAAGTCCTTTCACGAAAGAGAGATCAGAGAGTGCTGAGACATATCTCTGAGGTGATGTGGCCAATTCCTAAATAAGTCCTGGATTGAAGAACTTAGAACCTTCTTGAAAGAATGAATTTGAATGAACACCTAATTAGAAATAGACCAGGAAAAAAGGCATCTCAACTCTGTAAAGGTAGCCAAGGATATAAGTTTTCCCATGGCCTTCAGAAGGGTATTAATTACTGTAGTTCAAAAACTCTTATATTTAATCCCTTCTACATTATCGAAACCTTCAGAATGAGGAAAGTAGCACTAGACCTGATGGAAGAGGTAAGAACTATTTTGGAAGATCCCATGGCGGTACTGAAGAAAAGTAGAAGTGGAAACCATGGACTGGGTATTAATATGGAACTGTCAGGATGATTGATATTGGCTCTTGCAACCTATGCAGAAGAGAAATGTTGGATGTTAAGGGTGTCCCTTTCCTGAACATATGTGAATTTGGAGAAAAGTTCCTCAACCCCCGTGGATGGTATTTATAGTTATCATTGTCCAAAGGATTTCCATAGGTAAGTTAACCTCCACCCTTGTGACATCTTATGAGATCTATGGTGGAGGACCTGGATCAAAACTCTGTCTGCTGGGGTAATATGCTAGTCTGAAAAGAGCTGTACCGTGCCTTGGACCATGTCGAACTGTATTCCCAGCTATACCCTAAACTGGGAGGGAGCAAGATGACTACAGCAGACATTCATCTTTCACCATGAAGATGTAAAAATAAAAGTGATGTTAGGCAAAGGATACATGGCAATAAGCATCCTGCAAATCTATAGACATCATCCAATGTACTAGGAATACTACCTTTATAAATAAGAATGTAATTCAGATTAGCAGGAATATCTTACCATTTAGATGAAACCCATGAAGGGTAGAAAGGGTTATATCCATATATATGCTCTGTATGTGCCTGCAACTCCACTTCAGGAAATAGGCTGATGACAAAATCTTGCTAACGCTAGGGTCACAGCAAGTAAATCCATGGGAAAGTACAAGATAGTGAGTTGTTCTTTAACCCTTTCAGTGATGGAATGCTAGTACATCTCACATTAACTCTTTCAGTGATGGAATGTTAGTCATTGTCATAGTAATCCTTGCAATCCATGTGCTCTATATGTGCATGTCTGGCCTGCTACCCCTTGGTCACTGCAGGAATCATGGTGATGGCATTAACTTGCTACCACTAGGGTCACAGCAAGTTAGAACCCCCGGCCACTAAAGGGGTCTCTCCAGGGGCTCACCTTTGCACAGGGCCGTGTACTGGAGACTGCCCAAGGGAGAGAGGCTGAACTTTTTTTTTTTTTTTTTTATTAGGTTCCTGTCTGGTTAGGGATAGGGAGGAGCTACCCATTGTTCTGCTGCCATGGATATGGCCAGGAAATAAATATATATATATATATATATATATATATATATATATATATATATATATATATATATATATATATATATATATATATATATATATATATAGAAATATATATAGATATATATATAGATATATATATAGAATATATATATATTCTCTTTCTCCTCATCCCCAAACCCTCCACTTTTATTCACACAGCACAGGCTCAAAGGTAATGAGCAAACAGATCATGGTTAGTATTGGCAATTGTGTCAATATTTATTCATCGCATTCCAATGGATTATTACAAATATATTAAAGATACACTAAAGGGTTAGATAGACAAATGTGTGTTCGTATTGCTATAGTGACCTAGTCACCATTTAGGTAACCGGTTCCCTGCAGGCAGGGTTTATACGTGCGTTTTACTTACCTTTTCTCCCTCGTAGCACTGGCCTTAGACATTCCCATGTGCCTCTTTGGCTGAGATCATAGAGATGGATGATGTCAGCCAATCCAATGCTTCCCCATAGGTGGCGCATTGGGAGGCTGCCTGTAGCGAAAGGTTAACCCGCAATGAAAACATTGCTGGTATTGCAGAACAGAATGTTTTACACTGCAGAGTTAAAACTGGTGGGAATGTGACCCACAGACCACTTTGGATGCCTTTTAGTTTTCCTTCAATGGGACACTGTCATGGCTTACCTGGCTCTCTGCTCCCCCACTGTGATCCTAACATATTTTCTGTAAAATCCACCAACGCTCCTTCTGTTTTTTTGCCGATTTTGCCCAAAACACATTTCCCCAAGCAGAGCAAACATCCTTCATGACCTCAACGTGCCGGTGTCGGAACAGGCTGATACTCCTATACTTCATAGCTGTCGCTAGCTAATTATCATAGCAACTATCGTGCATTCTCTGTGGTTACTATGGGTGGAGAGCAGAGGGACCTCCAGTGGGAGATCTCTTCTGGTCCCTCCTCTTTCAATTTCTCGGCTTTCAATGTTTGCTGAGGAATTGATACAGGAGGAATTCCCGTTTTTAAGTAGGTTTTTCTCACAATCTATACTTTTGCTAGCATAATATATAGATAGAATTTTAAGCTTTTAAAAGATCTAAAGTTGTATATTTGAGTTTGTCTTTAAGCAAATGCTTAATCTTAAAGGAAATATGCACACTCAAAATGAAACCCCTACTTCTTCTCTTGGGCAGCAGCAATCGATCTAATATATATCAACCAAAACATATAAACCCCCCCCCCCCCAATGTTTGCAATAATGGATTTTGAAGTTTCCAAAATGAAGGTCTTTGTTGACTAAAATTGAGTTATGGTATCCAATTGACATTTAACTTTAAAATTTTAATAAAATTATATTCCTGTTGGGGGGGGTGGGGGTGGTTGGGTGGAGGAAAGGATGATAAAGATCCCCTCCAGTAAGAAATTTGAATGCCTTAAATTGTATAGTAGTTGTCACTTTAAATCTAAAATTACTCTGCATGTTCACATGTTAAAAGGTTAACCTCTGTAAGGGAAATGGTTGGGAGAGGATTTAACAAGCTTGGGGAAAATATCTGCATTTTGATTTAACCTTTTAAAACGATTTCCATTATTTAAAAAATTTTTTTTTTTTAAATCTCCTTGTGACTGTCATTTTGTTCTTTAGCAAGTTTGTCAAATACTGGTTGTATACTAAACACACAATGTGAGACATATTTTGAATGCCTTTTAAATGTTTTTTTTCTCTCATTATTTGTGTAGTATCTGTTTATATCTATAGACATGCTTGGACATTTCTCTAGTCTAGAGGATGGATTGGCAGTAAATTATGCTTTTTTTCCGATAACAAATATTGGACAAGTGCAACAATGCCAGAATTGATAAGGGACAATAAGGTTGATGGAGTGACCTTGCTTTTGCTGCTGTAGGGCATATGCATGTAAATAGATTTGTGAAGATAGTCTCCACTTATATTTGTGAGGGTTGTTGAAAAAAAACAATCACTTGTCTAAGACTTCACAGGGGGAAACTCTCTCTGGTTTTACATGATTTTGTTGCTCCAGATACAAAATCAATGCTTACTTTTCCCTCTATTAAGGTTAATAAGCATTAGTAGATATTAGTCCAAAAGGTTGATCTTGAGTGTTCAATACTGCTTTTGCTTATTTAAAGACCTTTTTGTTTGTTTGTTTTTTAGTGACAGGTCCATTTTCCTAAAATATTATGCAAGATGTGATTCTTATATTTAATGTACTCGACAGTGCGTTAAAAATGTACAAAAAAATTTAAATAAAATGTGATCAAATTGGATGGATTCTGTTTTGTGAAGTTACTCATTTGTCAGTCACCCAAAGGCAAGTCTTTTTAGCAGTAAAAAAAAAAAAAAATTAAAAATGAGTTTTTCTTTAATTTCTCCCAAATTGCTCAAGCTATAAGCCACTGTGTGCATTCCCAAATTGGATGTTTTATATATTCCGAGACTTCACGAAGCTGGCTTACATTTTCATTGAGTATTGGTCTGTTGCAATGAAAAGTCACTGCTAGAGAGATTACATTTGAGAACATATTGTGTATAAACTACTTTGTATGTCTTGTTCTGGATTCATGAACAAAGTGCTTTTTTTTTTGTTTTGTGGTTTTTCTTCAATGAGTTCTACTTGTCTCCCATACTATTTTGTACAAGGTGTCCCTTTTTTCTAATTCATGTGGCTGTATGAGAATGTACTGTGCACTCTTAGAACGCATTGAACAATCTTTATTTTCTGCCTTAAGAATTCACCTTAAAGCAAGATATTTTACCTTGCATCACTGGATTAAGATCACAGATAATGCCTTGTGGGGGAGCAGGTACACTATTGTGCTTGGTTAAATATTGAATGTCAGGCAACATTGCATTGTTGCTTTCTTTTGTAGAGCTATTTTTATAGCTCGCCTTCCCTTACAGAGTAATTCAATAAAGTGAGAATTCAAAGTGAATTTCAAATCACAGAACTGGAAAAATTCTCCAAGACTACTATGCTTTCAGGCCGGTTACACTGGCCTCCATTTCGAAATTCACTTTGAAATCTCACTTTATGAAAATAAATTAGTGCTTTAAAGAAAAATAATCTGTATGTTTGTCATTCTCCAGGATTGGATTCAGAAGACATTTGAAGGCAACTGATGCCTAAATCATCAGTAAGTATTACCTCTGTAAAATACCGATCCATAATTTGCTATATTAGTCCTATTTGTGTATATTTTCAATTTACATTCCTCAAAAAGAATACAGTTCTATAAACATGGTAGCCCTTGGTACATCAAAGATACTTTAATATTTTGATCCTTAAATGTCTTGCTGTTTAAATCTGCCGATGCTCCATATTATTTATTTCTAGAATATTACGGTTGCATATAATGCCATTGGTGTTCAAGGGGTTAGTTAAAATTTCAATATCTGAAAATTAGGCTAATTGTTTGGGGTTTTTTTTTTTTTTTATATATGTTCATGAGACATAATGGCAATATATCTGGCATCAATTCTACAGCTTTAAATCTTTTAAAGGACAACTGTCCTCAAAATGTTTATTTTTTTTAATCAAGTTTGAAAGTAAAAATTTGTATTTTGCTTGTTTCCCTAGCATCTGTTGCGAACCTTGTTATCCAAGCTATTTCCGAGCCGGCATTAATCTCTTGGTTCGTGTTCCTCTCATATTATTGAGGTAGGCTGGGCAGGCCATATATTGTTAGGTGTCTTGCCCAGGGACACTTACTGATGTAGTAGTCAGACCAAGATTCGAACCTGGGGATTTGGTTCTAAGGCATTGACATTACCACTGTGCAAACCAGAAGACTGCAGTCATAGTGGATGTAGCAATACTCAGTGTATATAAAATCAGGAGCACCTGAGAATGAGGAATAAATACATCACTCAAGAGGGGTAAGAAAATCAATTTTTATATAATCTCTATTAGGTTTATGCAACATCTGATCAGATACTGTAACTAAACCCCCAGTAGTGGGGAAAGTGATGGAAACCATGTTAAAGGATAGGATTGATGAACATCTAAAAACACATGGATTTCAAGATCAGAGACAACATGGGTTTACTTCAGGGAGATCATGCCAAACTAATCTTATTGATTTTTTTGATTGGGTAACTAAAATAATTGATCAGGGTTGTGCAGTAGACATTGCTTACCTAGATTTCAGTAAGGCTTTTGACACTGTTGCACATAGAAGGCTTATCAATAAACTGCAATCTTTAAGTTTGGATTCCAATATTGTTGAATGGGTAAGGCAATGGCTGAGTGACAGGCAACAGAGGGTTGTAGTTAATGGAATATATTCGAAGCTTGGACTTGTCACTAGTGGGGTACCTCAGGGATCTGTACTTGGACCCATTCTCTTTAATATTTTTATTAGTGACATTGCAGAAGGTCTTGATGGTAAGGGATGTATTTTTGCTGATGATACTAAGATATGTAACAGGGTTGAGGTTCCAGGAGGGATAAGCCAAATGGCAAATGATTTAGGTAAACTAGAAAAAAAATTGTGGCAACTGACATTTAACGTGGATAAGTGCAAGATAATGCATCTTGGACGTAAAAACCCAAGGGCGGAGTACAGAATATTTGATAGAGTCCTAACCTCAACATCTGAGGAAAGGGATTTAGGGGTGATTATTTCTGATGACTTAAAGGTAGGCAGACCATGTAATAGAGCAGCCGGAAATGCTAGCATAATGCTTGGTTGTATAGGGATAGGTATTAGCAGTAGAAAGAGGGAAGTGCTCATGCCATTGTACAGAACACTGGTGAGACTTCACTTGGAGTATTGTACACAATACTGGAGACCGTATCTTCAGAAGGATATTGATACCTTAGAGAGGGTTCAGAGAAGGGCTACTAAACTGGTTCATGGATTGCGGGATAAAATTTACCAGGAAAGGTTAAAGGATCTTAACATGTATAGCTTGGAGGAAAGACGAGACAGGGGGGATATGATAGAAACATTTAAATATATAAAGGGAATCAACACAGTAAAGGAGGAGACTATATTTAAAAGAAGAAAAACTACCACAACAAGAGGACATAGTCTTAAATTAGAGGGACAAAGGTTTAAAAATAATATCAGGAAGTATTACTTTACTGAGAGGGTAGTGGATGCATGGAATAGCCTTCCAGCTGAAGTGGTAGAGGTTAACACAGTAAAGGAGTTTAAGCATGCGTGGGATAGGCATAAGGCTATCCTAACTATAAGATAAAGCTAGGGACTAATGAAAGTATTTAGAAAATTGGGCAGTAGATGGGCCAAATGGTTCTTATCTGCCGTCACATTCTATGTTTCTATTATATTTACCTAGGCTAGGTGTTTAAAAAACAAAAAAAAATATTGCACTCTGTGAGCTTTGAAATTGCTGTTTAGTGACTGAGTGCGTTTGATCTTTTATTTTTATCTCATTTAAATTAAAATCTATTTCATTTCAAAACTTAAAGGAACACTATAGGGTCAGGAACACAAACATTTATTCCTGACCTTATGGTGTTAAACCCACCATTAAGGTGGCTTGCTCCCCCCCCCCCCTTTACCCTCTTTAAAAGTACAAAAAAACTATCACCCTATTACCAGGGCGGTGCGTGTCTGCTGGCCCTGTCCCCTTGGTGACATCATCAGAATTGCAGATTTTTTAAATCTGCATGGGGGCGAGGTCAAACACCATTTTGGCCAATCAGCACCTCCTCATAGAGATGCATTGAATCAATGCATCTCTATGAAGAAAATTCAGCACTGAGCCAGGAAGCACCTTCAGTGGCCATCTGAGGAGTGGCCACTTGGAGGTGTCCCTAGGGTCAATGTAAACACTGCCTTTTCTTTGAAAAGGCAGTGCTTGCATGAAAAAAAACCCTACATATAATGATTATACTCACCAGAACAACTACATTAAGCTGTAGTTGTTCTGTTGACCTTAGTGTCCCTTTAAATGATTATTTATAATACTAAAAAATTT